TAAGACATAACACGTGGACAGTGACACTAGTTATTAAAAACATGGGTTTAATTTAAATTATTTGATATCCTAGCGCTGACACACATGGAAAGTACAGCGAGGGCTTAGAGAAGGGTGTAAAAAGGGAAATTAAAGAAAAATAGATGGCACACCCCTTTGTCTTGCCATGTTTTAGGGCATCTTAGTGCCAGTCTAGACAAATCTGCAGCAGACAAAAACATTTTAGTCTGTTTCAATATCAGCGTGCATAAATCCAGCGACATAAAGAAATGTTTCTTTGCAGCTGGGTGTGGAAGAAAATCTCAAATCTCATCAGCAACAGTTTTAATGAACCTCTGTGATCCACATTCCCACAGAGAGAATCAACAACCGGTAGATGGTCTGAGCCCACAAATGACAGCAGAAACCAACATGTAATGTAAAACAACTCTGAGCAGTTCTGTCTTCTTCTTCTGTCTTTGCAGCGCTGATGTGTTTCAGGGTCATTTTCTGTTCATAAGTGGGCCGATGCAAACTCGAAAGTCAGCGCTGACCGCAGTAGGATTTTACAGCTCCATGCAGATTCGAGTGTCATTCAGTGACCCGTGCAGTCGTCAAGGCCGCGCTCCTGCACCATCAGTTACTCTTAGCGCTGCGCTGCCGCCTTCTTCAGCTGCGCGAGCCCTCGCCCTCGCTGTGCTCCATAATGGACTGACGCCGCTGCACACAGCTCTCCAAATGACCCTGAAAACTACTTCAATCCTGAAAGCTTTTCGACCTCTGAAGCTTGCAAAGGCAATCTAATTTCCTTGTGATGGGGCGCAGTAAAAACTATTAAGGCTTGTAATAAACTAGTATAAACAATTCTTATTTTCCATGCACTATTAACTCGGTCTAATTGTGAGAGCTGATAGGCTCGGCTGGGTTATAGCAGGAGAGGAGAGCCCTGCGGTACAGAAGCTTTTAATGAAGAGACCATCTGGAGCGCCCTCCCTCACCCGCCTTCTCTCCAGCACCCTGGGGCCTTACCACCGAGATGAGCTGTCACACAGGCGGGAGATAACACGAAACAGGGTTTTGGAGAGGAAATATCCTCAGAGTGCAGCAGGTTTCCACAGGTGCTGCAGATTTAAAGGGGGGAAAAAAACAGGCTGAACATCACAACTGTGTACAAATGCGAACATCAAGGCCGAGGCTCATGTGTGGGTCTGAAATTTAAAAGCCGTTAATTGGTGAGGGATGTGGCGTTAAACACCCCTGCGTATCGTCCTCTGACAGCAGCGGGGAGTTGGTGTCTCTGGCCTTTTTCGATAAAAGCCTTTTAACAGCCGAACTTCCTGAACTTCTCGTGCCACAGCATTTCCCTTCGTCCTTTACCCTCGGCAGAGTTACAGCCACGACTCTGGATTTAATGTTTGCTGATGTTTTCATTAGGTTTAACGGTCATGTAGCTCTCAGTGGATGGATAAAGTGCACGTCTCTCTGGGACATGAAAAACAGTTTACTGGAAAAGCGAGAGAAGAAGACTCGGAACAACTAGGCGCTGTGAAGGTAAAAGAATAAAACGTATATGTACAGTTAACAGGCAAGTGCTGAACACAGTATTATTTTACTTTATTTATTTATATATTTTATATATATATTATATATTTATATATATATATTTTTA